TTTTCTGTCCTCTTTTCTTCAGCCCCCCCCCCCCCGAGCAGCCTCTACCTAGGAAAACTGTGGCCCAGTTGTGTTGTGCCAGCCACTGGGCCAGGCCCGTAGGAAACCCTCAAGGACTTGTGGGGGTACCTCACTTTCCCTTATATCCCCCTCCCCACACTCTGTCCCCTCCAGCAACTCTATTATCTTCTCCCCTTTCCCTGCCACATTTTCTCCTCAGCCATCTACCAACCTACCTTTGCCTCCTACCTTCAGCTATATTGGTTATTTATTTGCTTCATTCATACCCCACCTTTCTCCACAGTGGGGTCCAAAGTAGCTTACATTATTCTCCTCTCCTCCTTTCCCACACAACAACCTTGTAAGAGATGTTAGGCTGAAAGTATGTGATTGGTCCAAAATTACGCAGTGATAGGGGTTTGAACCTGGGTCTTTTAGACCCTATTCTGAAGCTCTCAGCACCACACCACACTGGCTTTCATAAGGGGGCTACTGTGGCACAGTAGCAAGCAGCCAGGTCTAGTTGAGTCATGCAAGTCGGGTGATACCAAGTCACCCAGAGGTTGTGGCCAGGCCTAAGTTCGCAATCCTCCAAATGTGGGGCCTGGTTTTCATTGGGTAGCTGCTGTTGAACAGTAGCAAGCAGCCAAGCCTAGTTGAGTCATGCAAGACAAGTGGTATCAGGTCACCCAGGGGTGCTGCCAGGCCTAGGGCTCCCAACGTCCAGGTGAGACCTGGAGCTCCCCAGAATTACAATTGAACTGCACAGAACAGAGATTTGACCCTCTGGAAAAAATGGCTGCTTTGAAGGGCAGACTCTGGCATCTCCAAAATAGGCCTAGGGATGCAATGTATGTCCTGGTGTTTTCTATTTCAGGAGTTCTTTCATCAGCTCCTATCCCCAACCGTTTATCAGCATCATTGTGGAAGTTTAGAAAGCAGTTCAAGGAATCCGTTATTGAGAATTACAAAATATACCTGGTCTATGTGAAGAGTGTATGTGCATACCCCTGGATCAAGGTGTAAATTTCTTGAACCTGACTGTCTAGAAGTCATTACTGATTATCTTGAATGGGATGAAATTTTACCAGCATTCTTGTTCTATTTCTCACTTGGACAATATCTTTTACTAACATAGGTTCCAGGATTTGCTCCGAGAACTGTCACATCGAGATCAGAATGAAAGCAGGGACCTAGCTGAAATGCCACCTCCTCAGTCAAGACTTTTGCAATACAGACAAGTGCAGCCCAGAAGCCCACCAGCACTCCCTGCTACTTCATGCAGTTCAAATCATACTGGCCACTTTGCCAACTTCTCTGAGAACAGAGACATTGAAATCTCCAACAGCCCAGCGTTTCAGCAGCATTTGCCTCAGATGTACAATCCCCCTTTCTCAATGCCATCTGAACACATAACCCCACCTTCCTTGAAGTATCTGCAGCCTGATGGATCATGGACCTATGCTAATGTCCACCAGAGTCATCTAATGGGGCAAAGCTTTCATTATGGTATACCTCCATTGCCTCATAGATCGCAACAGAACCCTTTTATACAAATACAGAATCATCAGCACACAATTGGTCAGGAACCATTTCACCCCCTCACTTCTCGAGCAGTGTCTGCTTCTTCGCTGCACAGCTTAGAAGAGGTATGTAGGTTGTAATATTTATAAACATGTTTGGATTATGTTTGTTAGGCTGAACAGTCCTGGCTCCACTGTTGCTGGTTTTATATCATCTGCTTTTCCTTAATCTTTGAATGTGACTATTAGATTATATAGTGGTGATTATTGTCAGGATGCAGAAACCACCTTCTCGGATGTGATTATTTTATGTCTTTTTATAATGCTGCTTTTGGACTTGAGCCTCTGGGAAAGAAGGAGGGCTGTAGTACTTAGAAGGACATTTTCATTTAAGTACCATTAGGATAAGAGACTTCACAGTAGATCTCTTATTGCAAAATAAGGATTCCCACATGATCTATAATAATGTGCCTCTTTAATATCCCATACATTAATTAGCTTTGAACATCAAGACTAATTTGAGGCATATCATTCGTAACCTCGGTACTTAATGAAACTCACATCACCTGAAAGCTCTCTCCCAAATTCAAGTTGACCATGTCCCAGAAGCAAGTTAATTTATATATTTATTTATTTTGCTTGGGTGGTTCAGGATGATTAGGTAAAGAGAATATTTTATTTTCTGTATCCAAAGGTTTCCTTCCACATGTAGAAGGTGTCTTCTTCTGCTCATAGGCTTTTATAGGTAATGCCAGAAAAAAGAAATGATCCAAATATGTTTTACAGCTTGGACCAGGGTTTGCGGTTGCAGTTGCTATAAAAGCTATCTCTTATTGAGCTATGTGAGTGCTTAACCAGATGCTTACAACATGAGCAGCTGTTTTTCTCTCTGCTCAAGATTCTTTGGATTCAACCTAATGTGCTTATTTTATTATAATAAATAATAAATAATAATAATGCTTTCGATTTATTAATCGCTTTCCCCACAAGTGGGCTCAAAGTGTTTTACAGTTACTCTTTAGACAGGGGACTAACAATGTTTTTCATAGGGGATAGGGAAGACAACATATAATTCATTTAAGTTGCACACGCCGTACTGCCCGGTGGAAACGTTTCTGGCTTGACTCAGTCATGTTCCGAACAGCTGCATCGCCACACTGCCACCGCCTGGCCGGCATCCCACTGCAGGGATGCCGGCCAAATTTTATCTTATCTAGAGCAGCCACAACTACCCTTCAGGGTTCTGGGGTGTTTATTCACCCACAGGTTAGCCTAGGAGAATGTCTGGTATTCTTTGGTGATGGAGACAGATGGAGATAGGTGGTTTTGAGATGGTGTTCAGGATCGTGGCCCAGCCCCCACAGTGCATTGCTGAGGACGGGCTCCAACTTACCAGAGAATTGAGAGTTGAGAGAGCCAGGGGCTTGCGGAGGTTTCAGAGGTGCGGTGACTGTATACTGACAGTGGGAATGAGGTGGTCTGCTGGCTTTTTTCTGAGCTGGGTGGTGTCCGTCCTGGCATCTCCTGCTGTTTCTTTTGGGAGGTCCACTGTTGTTAATACTGAATCCAACTGGCCCTCGAGTGGGTGCTGGCTGCTGGTTGCTTCTGGTTTATGGGCAAGTGAGCTGCAAGGCTGACCACTCACAGAGAGACCCTTCTACGATCTTTACTGAGCCTGGAATTGACTCTATTTGTTGGATACCCCAAAAGGATTTAGAGCTTCCTGTTACTGTATCAGGAGGAAGGACTGTTCCTGCACGTCCCTGAGAAACAGCTGAGATCAGCACACACACAGGGAACAACAGCGATCAGACACGGAGGTCTCCAAACGGTTGGAAACACCCCAGGAGGCCCCTGTGGCCCTCTGACTGGACTTCGGAGAATCTTTAAGAACAGATTGCAATTACCTTGGCACTTTATTCCTTTTTTAGGAAGAAAGGGCACAGTAGGGACAGTGCTCAGTATCCTAATTCTACTACCTGACCAGCAAATAGAACTCTACCTGACCATAGCAGAGATAAATTGCCCGTCCCTTAGCCGATTATCTGTACTATCAAATATATGTTTAACTAATTAACTTCATTGGATTAATTAGGAAATCGTTTTTCTTAGAAATTGATTAATTGGATTTTTACAATTGATTAATTTGGATTGTCGTGGTTTTCATTGATCACATTAATTACATTTATTAGTAGTATTTATTAGTAGGGTGGGAGGTTTGGTAGGCTTAAGAGTAGGAGCTGGTTGGGTTTTGAGACTGTATTGTGTAATTTTAGTTGGGTAGATATTAGTGATTTGCATGCTAGAATTAGTCTTGCTTCCTGCATTTACCATCAGATGCTTAGTGGGTCCCATTTTGGTTGCGATAACATCTGGTAGGGGAGGCCATGTTAAGGTCAGGGCTACCAGTAATAGGTGGGGAAGGTATGCCAGTGGGACAAGGTGGAATATGGGAAGGAGACAGAGATATCGTAATGCTTGGTCCCCTTGCTACCTGTCTCATCTCAAGAGATGCTAAGGGCTAGGAAAATATACCCTTCTCCAAAACTGGTACTATGTAACGCCAGGTCTATTAATAATAAGACCTCTGTTCTGCGAGATTATCTGGCAGAGCAGCGTGTAGACCAGGCATGCATGACTGAGACCTGGGTGAGGGAGGGCAAGACTGTTGCCCTGAACCAGCTTGCCCCCTCCCAGTTTTTTGGTCCTTCACCAGTCTCGGACCAATTGGCACAGGGGTGTGTGTGCTGCTTATCTGGAAGTCTTTCTCCATCAGTGTGCTCCCCACACCAAAAATTATTGGTATTGAATGTGTTGGCCTAGTGTGGGAAGCTGAGGAGAGTTTGGCTATCTGGCTGGTGTACTAACCACTTGACACACCAGCAGATAACCTGCTGGGCTTGTTGGAGGCTATATCAGGCTGGGCACTGGAATACCACAGACTATTAGTTCTGGAGACTTAAATGTCCATGTTGATGATGCAGCTTTCTTGCAGGCCAGGGACCTAGTGTTGTCCATGGTGGCACTGGAACTCTCCCAGTTTGTATCGGCTCCTACACAATAAGCGGTTTACATGCTGGATCTTCTTTTTGGCTTGGGGATGAATGGATCTGGTAACTGCTGGTGCAGTTCCATGGTCAGACCACTTCATTCTGAAGGCCCGGCTGAGTACTACAAATCCTCCCTGTTTAGGCGGTGAGCATATTTATGCTCACCCAGGGAGACTAATGGACCCTAGTGGGTTCTAAAATGCTTTGTGGAATCCAATGCTCGATGAGCTGGTGTAGGATTGGCATAGGCAGCTCTCCGAGGTGATCAATGAAATCGCCCACGCTGCCCTATCTGCTCTCATGCCAAACTAGCCTCATGGTATACCCCAGAGCTACAGAGGATGGAACAAGAGCTAAGATGTCTACAGCGAGGGTGGCAGCATGCTCATGATGAAGCCGTGAGAACATCCTGTAGGATGTTTATGAAGGCCTATGAGATGGCAGTGAAGGCCACGAAGAATTTTTATGCAGTCTCCATTGTGTCTGCGAGCACTCACCCACCCCAATTCTTTAGGACAATTTGGTCTTTAACTACCTTGCCCAAAGGCAAGCAAAATGATAATGAATCGGTTGTTGGCTGTGAGGCATTTGTGAGCTGTTTTGCAGACAAAGTCTCATTGCTCCGCCAGGACCTCCTGGCCACAGTTGATACAGTAAGGGAACTGTAAGCCTCTTGTCTATCTTTGGGTTGGATTTTGGACCATTTCAGTCGGCTCTCCCAGGAGGAAGTTGACAAGGTCCTAGCAACTGTGAAGCCCACAATGTGTCTCCTTGACCTGTGCCCATCTTGTCTGGTCAAGGCTTGTGGAGATGGTGTTTGGGGCCCCTTGGTAGATATCATCAACTTAGCCCTGTCTTCAGGGATATTCCCAGTGGGGCTGAAGGAGTCAGTGGTGCATCCACTCTTTAAAAAGCCATAATTGGACCCTGTGGTCCTTGCCAACTATTGCCCGGTTTCAAATCTTCTGTTTCTGGGTAAGGTGGTTGAGAGAGCACTGGCTGAGCAGCTCCAGGCTTTCTTGGATGATGCCTCCATCCTAGATACATTCCAGTCCAGCTTCTACCCTGGCCATGGGACGGAGTGCTGGTCACCCTCACAGATGATCTCCAGAGACACCTGGATTGAGGCGGGTCGGCGCTGCTGTTGTTTTTTGACTTGACAGCAGTGTTCAACATGGTTAACTACAGTCTTTTGACCCATCACCTTGCTGACATAGGGATATGGGGGACTGCTTTACAATGGCTTTCCTCCTTTCTCCATGGCTGGGGACAGAGGGTGGCACTTGGGGAGAGGATATCTCCGCGATACCCACTGGAATGTGGAGTGCTGCAGGGGGAAATCCTCTCTCCGATGTTGTTTAACATCTGTATCCGCCCCTTCGCCCAGCTGGTCAGCAGGGTTGAGCTGGCCTGCCATCAGTATGCTGATGACACCCAGCTTTATCTGTTAATGGATGGTCAGCCGGACTCTGCCCCAAATATTCTGGACCAAGGCATTAGGGGCCATGGCTGGATGGTTACATCAGAGCCAGCTGAGATTAAATCCAACAAAGACAGAAGTGGGGATTTGGGACTGGGAATCTGGCTTCCAGTGCTTGGCGGGGGGCTGTTGACACCCACACCGAGGGTGAAGAGCCTTGGGGTGATCCTGGATGCCCCACTTTCAATGGAGGCCCAGGTCACTGCTGTTGCCATGTCATCCTTTTACCATCTTTGGCTGATCAGGCAATTAGTTACCTATCTCACCTCCTGGGACTTCGCTAAAGTGACCCATGCAATGGTCATTTCCAGGCTGGATTACTGTAACTCGCTCTACCTGGGGCTGCCCTTGAACCTGACCTGGAAACTGCAGCTAGTGCAGAATGTGGCAGCGCACATTCAGATGGTGCTACGCCAACTGCACTGGCCTGAAAGACATCCACTTAGCCTCAACCAGGGCCAGGGCCTTTTCTGCCCTGACCCAGTCTGGTGGAACATGCTCCCAACTGAGATCAGGGCCCTGCGGGACTTATTCAAGTTCCACAGGGTCTGTAGAATGGAGCTGTTCCACCAAGCCTTTGGCTGAGGCAGCAGACG